AACGGAGGAGAACGAGCTGACGACGCATCAACACAGCCCGAAACAAATCGAAATGTTGCCAGACTATTCAAGCCCATGGTTTATGCGTACAATTTCAATCGCAATATACGAACGCCATTCAGTAGCAGCATTAGTCAACGTTTAGCATCAGCTGGCCAACACAAGATTCAGCCATTAGAATTGGATTTGTTAGTTGATGATGATGATTTCATCGATAAAAGCAAGCGATACGATGACTATGGACACATGCGATTCGGTAAAAGAGGCGACGATAAATTCGATGACTACGGCCATATGCGTTTTGGCAAACGAGGCGAGTAAATTCGTCTGGTACACACACAAATGAAATCAACCTGAAAATTGGCCAAAGATAACCACTGAGCGCATACTGATGACGACATATCTTAATTGGGTGAAGATTTACGCGATGGTTTTTAGATGATATACACATGGAGCACACAACGCAGCACATTTAACTTGACGTTTCTTTTTCTGGATTAATGTGATGTCGAATTTCTGTACATATTTTATTTCCAGCATGAATGAATAAAGAAATATTCGGAAACACAACGTTGTTATTATTTGTTGATATTTTGAGGATGAAAGCTCACCGTGAAGCTTTAAAATGTTTGGAATTTAAACTCAAATCTCTATTTTCTATATATGCATGTGCTCTGCCAAATTTATTTAAATTTGATTGATTAAACTCTAGATTTTGTTCATCATATTTTATTGTTTTGTACACAACTTATTAGTCTCCGCTAAAATTGAACATAATTTTCCAATAATTTTATTCCAAATCTCTTCAAATAAATAATTTTTTTTTTGAATGATGGTTAGGGATAAAGTTCGGAAATGTTGCGTGTACACCAAATCAGGAGTATGTTTTGAAAGTCTTATTCATTTTTTTTTTGAAAGTATCGAAATTAAGCTAATTTTTTTTTAAAATAGAAGAAAACGGTCCATGAAATTCCTCTACAACCATTCGAGTGTGACGAGAAACAAAGGCAAAAATTTAGACCGTATTGGCTTAGCGAGTGTTGTTGATGGAACCACCCATGAATAAATCACAAATCCCTTCGGTTCGTCGCAGCGTGGATGTGTACTTAGAACGGGGCGGACTTAGTCGAACTAAAGGATGAGCACGAGTGGCATTCGGATTGGTTGCTGTTGACCAAGAAAAAACCAAGAATAACATTAAATAATTGTAAATTTACAGGGAACAATAGTATGAAAATAGTTATACCTACATTCAAGCCAATCTTCATCCAAATTGCGTTTCCGTTGCACGAGCGACGGTCGATAGCCAAGCAACGTTTCAGCCGTAATTCGTCGTTCTTCCAGCTCTTTTTCCTCTTCGGTGAGGGTGGTTTTGAGGCGTTTTACTTGATCTGTTTCGACGCTGCTGTCATCATCTTTTAGCTCAATACGCTCTGGCTTGCGACGACGACCGGGTCTCCTAGCTCCGGTGTTAGTTTTCGGCTCCGGTTGACTTGCTGCTGTTGTCTTTTGTGTTTCACTCGAATCGCCATCCGTTTCAGGCTCCTCTAATGTTCGGGCGGTGTTACGTGTTATCTCACCATCGGTTGTGACTAGTCGCACATCGACCTTTTTGAATAGACCATGCACTTGAAGCGTATGCTTTTTCTCTTCTGAATCATCTTCGGCTTTGATCTTAACGCCCTTTCGTACGGTATCGAAATTTCGTGCCGTCAGTATCACCGATTCTTTCCCAAACACATCGAGCAAATCATCACGCGTAACATAGGCGAAAAATTCATTCGATGGACTTCGCCTTGCCTGTTGGTAGTTATTTCTCATGGCCTTACACAATCGATCCAAATTCTCTTCAGTCTCACGTAAACGATTCAGTCTTGCTTGCATTGCTGATACTTTGTTGCTCAATACGCTCATGTCACCTTCGTTGACAACACCCCTAGACGAGAGAAATTCACACAAATGCAGGTAATTAAACATAAAAAATGGAATATTTACGTCAATTTGTGACTAGTTTCATTTACCTCCATTGTACACTATTTTTACTTTGCTTTTGAATGAGACCAATTCCCTCCAGTACATTAGTGATGTCATATATTCGACGCTTTTGACTAACATTTAAAATTTCAGCTGCCTATTAGCGAACAGAAAAAAATGAAATAATTAATTTTTCGCCGAAAATTCCACGAAAAATAAATTCGTGTCAACGCAAAAAGTCCGTTGCTAAATCGATTCACGGAAAAATTGTGCTAACAAAACTCGCGCCCATAGTTTTGTCAAAAACCAAAACATGTCGGCTGTGACTGTAAAAAGGGCGCAAAATACACTTGCTATAACACATATTTAGCACTCATTTGAATCAATAACTAAAATGAATCGAATTGAATGCCATGGAAATTGTGCGTGAATGGCATTTTTTCAATGTTATTTCAGAATTTTTGCCAAATTTCACTAGAATTTACGACCAATTTATCAAACACTTACACTTTTCAAGTCTAATATTCCATTTTTCGATGACAATAGCAATGATACGAATTTACGTGTAAGCAAACTTAGTGATTTTTCTGTGCGTTTGCCATCAATAGCGTCCGATTCTGGACTTTCCATTGTTGCATAATTTTTCGTATTATATTCAATGGATTTGAAAATGGTTATTACTTTCGACACTTGATCACAATTTACAGAATTAATGCACGCTTGTTAAGAATTCACCAATTCGTTTAGTTATCAAACAAGAGAGAAATGAAATGATTTTCACAGCCGCGCCATTTGTGTTGCCAATATAATGACAGAACAGCTGTAGGGTTGCCCGTTGTACACTACGCGCATAACATCCGCAACGGTGCGTACGTAGTTTTACGTGATTCGTAATTCGTACTTATTCATTGAACATCTTTACTCGTTTTGCTCGGAGATTTTTTTTTTTTGAATCTGGAGAAAAAATAACGATGAAAATGATTTTTCAAAGCTGAAAATTGCGCTGCATTTTGATTGGCAATCACAAGAGTAAAGGCATTTTTTTTATTAAACATTTTAACCGCAAAGTTTACTCAAAAATAAGAAAAAGAAGAAGAAACATCCACTGTGGCTAAAAATAGACAAATACCAGATATTTATATCGGAATTTCATACTTGCATCGCAATTTGTCCCATTTACAATTCGGAATTTTGATTTGCGCTACATTTTGTGTTTTGACTTACCATCCACTGTGACTTCTGTCAAAAATCGTAACGACATTCTCTTTCAAGTGAAAGTTTTGAATTAAGTGGCAATTTATCTTTCTTTTCATATTTCAATAAGTTTTCTACAAAAACAGTCTAACAATAGAGATTTTTTTTGACACAACGCATGACAGGCAGCAACAACACAAGCAAGCGATATTGCAGTGTCGAGGGTTTTCACAGTCAACCTTTTTAAAACAAATGAATTCAATATTTCCCGTTTTCGAAGTTCCATTCCCAGACTGATAAAAATAATTTCTTTTCTTGTTGTCGAAAATAAATCAAAGCCAAACAAATTCCACATTTTCATACAATTCAATTATTTTATTACGTCCGCACAAAAAATGCTTGCTAATAAAAACCACTGACCATTTGGAAAATAAGCAAATTCGGCCAACATAAAACTTGCAATTTTTTTTTTCATTTTACTTAAGACTTTAATTTGCGTAATGAGTAATTAAATAAATCCAAATCTAAATCGAATGGGAACGATGCAATTTTAGTCACTTTGATTGTATCTACTTTTCATCATCCGTTTAATGTAGGTTCGATAATCGTCCCCAGGCACAAATGCTGTTGTCTTTGAGCCCAATCCAGCTGTGGGTGCTCGACTCTCAGCCTGTGAATAATGATGAAAAAAAACCAAATTCGTTATCTTGATCCTTATTGTTAGGAGAAATGGGTCCAAATGTCATATAAATTCCACTTACTTCAATAATATTCGTTCTTCCTTGGTTACTTTTGCCCAATCCTTGTCCATCCTTCCAGCCCATTTTCTGGAGCAATCTATTGCCAAGATTCGACTGATCGATAGGAACATGAGCTAAATTGGAGCTGGCTTGTTTTTGTATATGAACCGATTGCTTTTTCATCTCCTTTTCAAAGCGTTCGCGACTTCGGTTCGGTGGTGGTGGATCGACTTCTCCGTATTTCAGTCGCCTTTCTTTGGCCCGATCCCGGTATGCCATGCCATTTCCACTTGAGCTCTCATTTTGTGTGTTCAAATTTAGCTTCTGCAGGTTTTCCTTGTGCAAATTGGACATTTTTATGTGTTTGTTAAGTATATCAAGGGATTGGAATGCACGTTTACACAACAAACAGGTTAATTTATCAAAATCAACCAAATCTTTTTCACTAAGACCGCCAGCACCACCACCGAAATTTGGTGCACTTTGATCGATATCGTTGTCCGAATCAGAAGTGTACGGCAAGAGTTTATTCAATGTTTTGCTTGCATTGATATCTAGGCTAGGTTTGAGGCGTGTTTCACGATTTTCCATAATTGTGAAACCGACATCAGCATAACCGTTTGATGTCATCCGCTGCAGCGGTTGCTGTCGACTACTCGATGGTTGGATCGGTTCCTCGACAACTGGCTGTTGCTGCATGGGTTGAAATGCGTAGTCTTTCTTTTGGTTTAATTGTTTTGCCCATCGTTCCATATCTTTGACAATCTTCTTGGCTACTTTCACCTTATCTTGCCTTGGATCATTCTTCTTACTCTCGTTGTCTTTGTTATTGTCTTCATAAGCATCGGAAGGTTGAGCACTCGAACCATTTGCAGGTGGTGCAGTGCTTGCACCACTTTTATCACCATAATAGGCTGACATTGACGTTGTACCAGCCGTACCACTCGATGTAGCTGTGTCCGTTTGTGACGCCAGCAAATAGGTACACTTCTCGGGGTCATAGTATAAATACGAGGCGATTTCGCTGTTGTAATAGTATTGTGAATTGGGATCGTAGTACAGCCCAGTGGTTGGGTCATAGTAGTAACCTGACGTATCATCGTATTGATACTGAGTTGTGTCGGGAGTTGCTGTGAATGAATGAAAATGGTCGATTTTCAATGAAATTGTCCAAAATGATAGATTCTTCGGTTCACTTACCATATTTCCGATTATCCTGTCCATTTGGTATCTGTAATGGTGTGGCGGCCACAGCAGCAACTGATTGAGCTTGAGAAATTTTCTCGTATTGTTTGTGTTGTTTTCGTTGAATGGCTGACAGAGCAACAGCCGCTCCAGAGTTAGCTGTCTCTCCGATTTGGCTCATCGACGGTATATTACTGTATTGACCGCTGTTTATTTGCTCCGTGTAATAGTCCGTGTAGTACTTGTAATAGTATTCCTGTTCCGTGGCATTTTTCGCATACACCGATGCACTGTATTCGGCTAAACGTGGCACATCGGCCAGAGTGTACTGGCCACTTGACTTTCCACTTTGCATTCCATCCTGATATTCCTGATGTGATTTGCCATTGTTGTAGCGGGCACTGATTTGCCGATTTTCCGAGTCAACACAGTACGTGATGATAATCTCTCGGTTGTCAATGTTCAACGGTGGCTCTACCGACTTCAGCGCATTGTGTGTATTCATGGAATCGACGAGATTATCGAAGAACAAGTAACAAATGCCGCGTGAGGTCGAAGTCAATGGATCTCGACAAATTAATATCTTTGATATTTTGGAAACCAGTGTCGGTATAACACCTTGCATGGCAGTCAATACTCCCTCCTCGTTTGTCAAAACATCCAAATTGCGAAGCATGATTTCTATGGAGGAGCAAAGTGAGGTTAGTGTGATGTTTTTAATGCGGGTTTTTATTCGAATGCAAATCTTCATCGAAATGACTTACTTTTAGTCAAAATATTGCTAACTTCATCACTTCCTTCGCCACCTTTCTCGCTTTCCTCACGCGATGCATTGCATTTGAAGCAGTTGTCACGACGCTTGAAGTTGAAGACGCCACACTGTGAAAATGGACAATTTGTTACATGAATATCTTGACAGAATCGAAAGTATAATTGTTATTCACCTTTGCACAGTACCAATCGGTTAGGATTCTGTCCGAATGACCGCCTGGATCCTTATTCGACACACTGTATTGCATGATGGCTCGATACTGGTCTTGGATGAGGAGTATACCCTGGGAAAAAAAAGACAGAAACACGAATCGAATTAGTCACATATGGCTCTTCAGACCGGTGAATTGTTCATCTCCATTTAAATAGATAAAGATGGAAGATAATCTATTTGCGTATATCATCGGGTCGTTTCATATTAAAAAAACGTTTGTATTTCGTACGAATTACTTTGTGCACTCCACGTAGAGTGAACAAAGTTCATACAAATCGATTTGCTGCTAAGTTGAAAAATGCGTTTATGTATTTTGTTGCTAATGGTTAAAGAAATCTCAAATCTTTACGATGAAAACATCAAAAGAAATTTTCCAAAACAGATAAAAGTTGTGGTTTGATTTATCCTTTTGTTTCATTCAGTCACAAACTCCGATTAAGTCGTGAATATGGAACAATGATCTAGTAAAACTGTCAAGAGCTGAATCAAAATCGTTTTTGGCACGACAATAATTTTCTCCTGATTTCGTATCAAAGAAAAAATCTTATCAAATGACGTTCGCAAAATGCCAATACAATTTCAAAAAAACTGATTTTAGCTAAAATGTTGGATTCAACTAATTTGGAAACATCATTGCTACGATTTTTTCTTCATGTCTTTTTGTCTCTATGAAGATTTCTATGGATTTTTCGATAAAAGATAACAAATGCACTTCTTTCAAATCTTTTTTTAGTTTAAACGAAAAGAAAAAAAAACTTTTTCCTTGCTTTCGCCACACACAACATATCGTTTTGCGTCATTTTGATATCAGTTTTAGTTTGGAGTAGTTGTGCGCGCGACTCGATTCGAGTGAGAGTGTCACACCACAGAATATTCGTTCGTTTGTGTTTTTTGTTCACAATAATCGCGAGAGTTTGACGAGTTTTTGTGTCTGTGCGCGCGTGCGTGCGTTTGTGGAATAGGAGTCTTGTTTTTGTGTGATTGCTGACTGCGCCAGATACCTGTTTATATTCCATCCAGCGAGTTGCTTCTTCTTCCGTATTAAACTCCACGAATGCAAAACCGCGGCTAGCCCCTAAACGACGTGGAGAAACAAGAGCAAAAGAAAGACACAAAAAATATACGATATCAATACCACCGACAAACAAAATAAAAATGTTGCAACAAAATTGAGGCGATTGAGATTGATTGATTTGACTGTGTGTGACTCATAATGTCATAGTTAATAATGTGCACTTGGCTATGCACATCGTCGATGCAATATTCCACTCCCTTGTGAGGCGTTGTTGACACGTATGTCGAATCGAATGCCGATGTAAATGACCAACCGACTCAGACGTCTTCACTGTCATTTTGGCGTGTAATTGTTTACTTACTTTGTCGCTGTCGTCGATAGAACGGTATACGATAGAACTTCAATTCAATTTCATACACAAATACAAAATTATGCCCAATTTTTAAGCCCAAACAAAATAAACGAAAAAGGCGACCATTGACCAAACCCATTCTTTTCTTTACCAAAACTTATTCCAATATTTCACTTCTTCAAAGTCTACGTCTTATTTGCTTTGTAAATAGTAAATTGAACGTGATAACTACCTGTCTTTCGTTTGCGGATGAGGCGAATCGACTGAGGATGAATGTTGCACATGTGGAGATCCGCGTTGATCTGCAATCGAAACAGAAGAATCAATAAAGAACAATCCAGCCCAAAACAGATTGTCCGACATGGAATGAATTGAAAAGGAATTGATTTTTACTCACATCAGCCTCGGTGAGATGCTTGGCCAGGCCCAACACGATTATTTTGTTGCTCGGTGTTTGGTTGCGATAGTTGACATGCTCACTAAATCGCGAAAAGTTTAATGGAATTCAATTAATTCATCTTTCTATTTTTGAGTTAGCAATTAGACCGATTTCATTTTTTGCTGTTTAATCGAGAGAGAAAAATTTTTCCCCTTCAATTAAAGCAATTGAGATTTTGTTTTGCGATTTAATTGGTTTTTTTTTAATCAAGCAAAACTTCTTCAAACAAATACAATTTTCTTACTTGTTGTAACTCTCGTTGCTTGATTCGGACGAAGCTCTGCCCCGGTAATTGTACCGATCTCTGTCTCGTCGGTCGCGTCTATTGTACCTATCCCTATCACCGTATTGTTCGGAATTGTCACGATAATCGGGGCTTCCACCGCCTCGCCGATAATTTCTCTCTCTACTCATTGAACGACTGTATCGTCTACGTCGCTCACTACACATAGCATCATCATCGTGTCGATCAAACCATTTTACAATAAATCATGGCGATGGATTTTTGTTTTTGTTTTTCGCGTTTTTTTTTGTTTTGGTTTCGGTTTGTGTTTATGAAGAGAGAGAGAAAATAATTAGTTGCGAAACACACTGTTTTTCCTACACCAAGTTTTTTTGCTTTGCATTTTGCATTTGCAAGCTGCTTTTTTGCTAGAAAATGAATTAGTAAATTCATTCAAACCGTGATCTAGATCTTGAACGACTATGTCTTCTGCGTCGACCGTAACGTCTACCATCCGATTGATCTGGGCTACGTGAATCTGTATGTGAGATAGAGAGTAACAAAAAAATTGAAAAGAATAATTACATGTACATGAATAAAATTGCATGGGTGTTCATATTAATGTGCAGATAGATGAATAATTGCATTTAATTTGAAACGCCCAGTTTTGGCGTCAGCCTTCATTATGTGTGAACAGTTTACAGTTCAGATAATTCACATAGTACCGCTCATAAAACATAAATATACCGTTGAACAACAACGAATTGAGAGAAGAAAAAAAAACATATGTGGGGAATTTTTATTTCATTTTCACTTTAATGCGACCTTTTTGAATTTCAAATGCGCAACGGCTTAGCAAAATTATGTTAATTCGGTCGTAAAAAAATATGGATTTTAATAGCTTTTCACTAAATTAACCACACACGATTATCGGAGTCGAGAGGAGAAAAAAAAATATGGCGAAAGCAATTATGAAGAGAAAATTTCCAGCACAACACTTACGTCTATCCATTTTTTTATTTGTTTCCTTTGACCGCCGAAAATGCTATAAAAATTAAATCGCAATTGGAATTGAATTCAATAGATAAATGTTTATTTTCTCATTCCACTCGCAAAAATAATCACAAGATCGCAAAACGCAATTTTTTTTCACTGCTTCAAATGTTGGAGAAAAAACTCTGACGAATTCTTTCTTTCTTTGTAAATGACTCGAAACTACGTACAAAATACGGCTGTCAAAAGTGAAGCTGCGCTATGCGTGTGTTTGTGTTTGATTCGGATTGCGTTTCGTTTAAGAGTTGCCCGAGGCGAATACGAAACATCGAAATGAATTTACGCAATGAATGCGATATGCCGGTCGATGCAAACACTTCGCCAATGCAATGAAATTACAATGCTAACTGTGCGAACAATACATACCAGAATAAAAATGGGAAAGATACAAATGTTCACAAAATAAACCGTATTAATTTTATGATCACTCGCAATGTGAGCAAATGAATGAGCGGCAATATTGTTCTGCCAAATATGCATATTTCCTAAACTCAATGAGGAAATTTTATCGGTATTATTTTAACAAGATGAAGAGACTATGGGTCTTCTGTTTTGGGAATTTTCCATACATAAATTGTCGCCTAAGAATTCAAATCGATTTTCAATGTTCGTCTAGCAATCATAAACTGTTGGGTAAAATGCCATAAAATGTGTTATTTATGACCCAAGCCTCTGTCACAGCGCAGAATCAATGGATTTTGTGTGTGCGATGATGATTCTCTGTTGTCGATGTTATTCACTTTGTTTTGTTCCAAGTGCTTGACTTTTGGCGCGCGACGATTGACAAGGATTTGAAACTCAATACAGAGACACACGAACGAGAGCACACTTTGCCCAATACACCGACGACAGCGGTTCGTATTACAGCTGCGTCGATGCGTATTTGTTTATACACAATCTCGCCGATCCACAAATTCTGCATAAAGTCATAATACATCGCACGCGCACACACCAAAACACAGCACAGAACCGATGGCGTTGAATCGCCACAGCTAACTCACAAAAATACTAACACAACGAGACGAGAATTAGTTTCCAATACGTTGCAAACACAGCGACTCGTTCACTTGCTTCTTGAACGTTAACCGAGCTAGAAGGAAAAAATTATCATTCGATCAAATCGACAGTGTTCAATCAACAAAAGAACGTGAAAAAAGTCTAACGAGTAAGTTTTAACCCATTTTTTTCAATCGATCGACCGAATTTTATCGAAAGAATAGAAGAAATTCAAAATCATAGTAAAAATTTGTAGAAATTCTCGTGTTTTGTAAGATTTTTTTTTTGTCCTGTGTTTGTTCAAGTGTTCATATCACTAACAAGAATTTTTCCGATTGTCATCAACGACAACTTAGATTTTATCGATAAAAAAACGCGCATCAAATTCATTCTTTTCCTATTCCACCAAAAATCCGCGTAGACTTTTGAAAAAATGTTGTCAGAATTCGATTGTTCGCGAAATTTTGCCGGTTTTTTTCCCTTGTGTCGTTGCACGTGCTTGTGCTGTGTCTCTGCAATAACGGAACATTCGCCAAATTAGTAGCACCAAACCAACGATAGCACTGTACGCTGTCTCGGGCCGAAAAAAAACCGCTTCACTTTTGGCTTCTCATATTTTCAACAGCACATTTATTCGAACTCTGTCTCAATCGTGAAACAATAAAAAGTAATAAAAAAAATCATGTTTCTTCTCTCAATTGTTCGTCGCTCGTCGCGCATTAGCATTCCTGGTCGGTGCATGTTTATTTGTTTTTTGTTCTTGTTCATTCGATTGCCAGACGATTCGTTGTGCATTGTATACAATTTGGTCCTCCGCCATTTTTCCAAGAAAAATAAAATCTCATCGGAGGTATCCATAAATGTGACAGCACCACCACCCGGCTTCGTTGTCGATTTTTCTTGGAACTCATTTAGCTGAGATCAATTTTTTTTTCGTTCGATTTTTCTGCACTATCAGCAAATCAACGGTAAACATTTGAATGTTTATACGATGACAAAGCGGTGAACTTTTGTTTGACGTTTACGAACACACAATTTTTCGTAATTTTTGTTTGTGACAGGTGGTATATATAAAACTCGAAATAGAACCAGTTTTACTGAATTTTTTTTATGATTTTTCATTTTTAACCGCGAAAAAGTACTTATTTCTTGAAATTTTTGATGTGCATCGTGCTAAATGAGTAAATTTGTAACTTTTTCAGAAATGGCAGATGAATGGGACGATGACTTCGTGAGTATTTTCGATTTTTTATGTGTGTTGTCAGCAGAAAGTGTGTATGACATGCACTGCTTCTGAAAAAGAATTGTTTTTCTCTGCATTACAATAAGTTTTATTTTTCGATTTAGGCTCCGGCTGCAAAGCCCATTTCGGTGAACACAAAAAAGTTCGCCGCCAACAACAATGATGAATGGAATGATGATCCACCACAGAAACCGGCTAACAAACAGAACCAAGGTAAGAGAAAAGGCACACTGGTAGATTTGCGAGATTTTTTCGCTCATTTTCATTTTTTTGAGTCAATTTTCTGTGTAAATGCATAATTTTTTCGACATTCCCAACTTTTAACTGTGTCTAACTGTATTTTGTCATGAATCAGGTGGCTGGTCTGGTGGCAACAACAACAACGCCAAGAAGGCAAATGATGACGGATGGGACGACGATCCAAAACCAACAAACAACCGAAGCACCAACAATGGTAAGTAATTGTTCGCATCCATGTATTTGGTTTTCTTTTTTCGAACGAGAGATTAGCTGAAACGGTTTCAATAAACATAAGGACTGTAGAATAAGCAAATAAAATGAAATTTGTCAAAGTAACAAACAATATTCTGATTGTTTGAAAGGTTGGAGTGGTGGAAACGTGAGCAAAAAGGCGGACGATGGCTGGGACGATGAGCCAAGTACCAATAACAAATCCAACGGTAAGCGTTTATCGGATTGGAACGATAAACCGCCCAATAAGTTTACGAAACATTCGAACGGTAAAGACCCATTGAATGAAAATGGGTGCACATATTTTGTTCAAGCTATGCGCATGGCTTAGTGATAGCTGCTCGGTAGCAACTTGCTCTGGTTTACCGTTTTCATTTTATATTTCTAATTTCTTTTTCAAATTGTTCTTCTTGGTTCGGTTGCAGGATGGAATGGCGGCGGCGGCGGATCGAAAAACGATGATGGTAATGATTGATGCATTTTCTCACATTTTTTCATCTGAATTTTCAAGAGCAAATACACAATGACAACGATTCATTTATTTCGATTTGAAATCTACGATTATAATAACAATGTGTGCTTTGTATCATTTCAGGATGGGGTGATGACAGTTCATCGAACAAGAAACCTTTCGCCAATCGCAGTAATAACGGTGAGTTGATTGCCATCATTTTTTTTTTGAAAAATATTCTCTTTCATTTTTGAAATTATGATAATTTCTGGTTTGAATTGTGAATTTTTCCGACTTTTTTTTCAATAAATGTTTCGAATCAATTTTTTTTTTCGTTCGAATAGATCGTGGTGGACGCAAACCAGATTGGATTTGCAATGGTTGTGGCAAGACCGTATTCGGCAGCAGAGACGAGTGTTATGCTTGTCATGAGCCAAAAGGTGATGCGAAGGATGCACCCGCTGATGGTGGCCGACCTAAGCGTGCAAATGATTGGATTTGTGATGGGTGTGGTGCCAAAGTTTTCGGATCGAAGACCAGTTGCTTTAAGTGTCAAGCCGACAAAGGTGACTCAAAGGACGCACCACCTGACGATGGAAATTCATCTTCGCGTGGCGGTCGTCCCAATGACTGGATCTGCGATTCATGTGGCGCCAAAGTGTTTGGCTCAAAGAGCACTTGCTTCAAGTGTCAAGCCGACAAAGGTGACTCAAAGGACGCACCACCTGATGATGGAAATTCGTCTTCGCGTGGCGGTCGTCCCAATGACTGGATCTGCGATTCATGTGGCGCCAAAGTGTTTGGCTCAAAGACCACTTGCTTCAAGTGTCAAGCCGACAAGGGCGACTCGAAAGATGCACCGGCCGATGACGGTGGCAACTCATTCCGTTCAAATAATCGTGATGGTGGCGATGGTGGTTCACGGCCCGGTCCAGGTGGCAAGCCAGGTGATTGGACTTGCGCTTGTGGCGTGAGCAACTATGCCTCGCGCAACGAATGCTTCAAATGCCAAGAGCCAAAACCAGAAGGTGCCGGTGGAGACGCAAAGTTCAACAGCGAGGTAAATACTATATATTTCGCAATTGCTCATCTTTCTTTGAACAAAAAAGAACGTCTGTATTGACAAATTACATTTCAAGTCCAAATACAAATAAAAATGAAAATCAATTCAATTTATTCCGAAATATTCAATGCAATTCACAGGCTCCGAAAGAGTTCTACATACCGACGGAAATCCAAGAGGATGATTTGTTCACGGCTGGCATTTCGACTGGTATCAATTTCACGAAGTACAAGGACATCCCGGTTAAGGTCACCGACAATGCGCGCAATTCTCCGCCCAAACCGTGCTCTACATTCAAGGATGGTGGTTTAAACGACTTCCTGTTAACCAACATCGAAAAATCTGGCTATAAAACGCCAACACCAATCCAACAGCATGCCATTCCGATCGTCAAGGCCAAACGTGATTTGATGGCTTGCGCCCAAACTGGTTCTGGTAAAACAGCTGCATTCTTGCTGCCCATGATCCAGACATTGTAAATATTTGCTTTTCACTTGGTTGAATCTATCTATTGGTTTTTTTTTCATACAATTGATGGCACATTTTCTTTTTTTCTTTTTCAAGGATGGAAGAAAACGCGCCACTCAATATTGGTAAGCCGTACGTTGTGATTGTTACGCCAACCCGTGAATTGTGCACACAGGTAAGAAGAATCGCATTCGAAATACGGATTGTTTTGTCATTTGGATTGTCTTCATCAGATCTACAACGAGGCGCGCAAATTCGCACAAGGAAGCATCATTAAATGCTGTCAAATCTATGGTGGAACCGCTGCCCGTCACCAAAGCAGCAACATCAATGTAAGTCAATTCAAAAGATTTTCCCCTTCGAAAATATCTCAGCGCTTGAATTTGTATTCAGTTTGTCTTGACAAAACGAACGCGATTCGATTAGTTTGCGCGATTTGATTGGTTTCCAAAAGATTTCATCAGGATTTCGCATTACTCATTTCATTTGTCGTTTTTTTCTTCTTCTTCTTGTTCTCTTGTCAATGGAACAGAATGGTTGTCACATTTTGGTTGCAACGCCCGGTCGTTTGAAGCATTTCTGTGAGCAGACGTTCGTCACATTTGAAAATTTGCGCTATTTCGTGCTCGACGAAGCCGATCGTATGCTTGACATGGGATTTGCACCACATGTCGAAGAGATCATGAAAAATCCAACAATGGTCGCAACTGGCACACGCCAAACACTTATGTTTTCGGCTACCTTCCCCGAAGATATCCAGCGCATGGCTGGACAGTACTTGCACGAGTACATCTTCTTGACAATTGGTGTCGTTGGCGGTGCATGTCAAGACGTTAAACAGAATGTTCTTGCCACAACCAAGTTCGACAAGCGAAACAAGCTAATGGAGCTGCTTAATGCAGAAGACCCCATTGGAACGATGGTGTTCGTTGAAACCAAACGAACGGCTGACTTCTTGGCATCGTTCTTGTCGGAATCAGAGCACCGCACCACATCGATCCATGGTGACCGAACCCAAAAGCAACGCGAAGAAGCACTCGCTGATTTCAAGGCCGGTAGAATGAAGGTGATCATCGCAACCAGTGTGGCTGCACGTGGTTTGGGTAAGTTCATTTTGATCTATCCAGATGTTTTCTTTTTCTATCGATTTTTCGTAAAATTTAAAAATTAAAAATGATTTTTAGCCCAAATCAGATGTAATTTAATGCGTTTTGTATTGTTTTCAAAATAGATATTCCAAAGGTACGCCATGTGATCAACTACGATATTCCTAAGGGAATCGACGATTATGTGCACCGAATTGGTCGTACCGGACGTGTTGGTAATACCGGAAAAGCAACGTCGTTCTTCGACGCAGAACAGGTAAGTTGGACGCTTCACGTTATTGACACGCTTCATTTCTTTTGCATTGGAAATGGAAAATTTTCTTGTTCGTGTTTATTGTCGCTCTAATGAAATCCGTGATTTATTTTTCTCATCAGGATGCTGATATCGTGTCGGATTTGGTGCGTATCTTAAAGGAGGCCAATCAAGAAATACCCGACTTCCTCGCCAACGGTGGTAGCGGCGGTGGAGGCGGCAGTGGTGGAAACTCGCGCTCCAACTTCGGTGGCACCGATTTCCGTAACAACGGTTCTTCAGCTGCACCAGCAGCCCATGGAGGAGGCGGTGATGATGAGGAGTGGTAGAATCGTACCAACGAAAAACAACAACAACAAAAATAGAAATCAAAAGGAAATCTCATCGCGATTTAAAAAAAATTCATATTCATACACGCGAATCACAATGAAATCAGATGCTTTTTCATCTGTCTAATCGGAATCATCCGTATTTTTTTTTCCAATTAAAACATTCATTTAGAATTTAAGAATTTACGCTAAGAAAGTGTATTTGAACACCAACTATTTTTTTAGAATATGAAATTCTATTGAAAGTTATCAATATAAAATCAAAACAAAAAAATTGGAAGGAGTTTTCATTCAAAATGTTTGTTTTCCAGCGCAGCGCCATCTTGTGTAATTTCTTTCAGTTGAATGAACCGAAGCGGATGGAAAAATCGGTGTTAGTTTTTCCCTTTGAAATGTGTGTTGACTGGAAGTCATAATTTTCCAGTGTTGTCGTCTAGCGTACGAGAGAGTTTTCCGACATTTGTACATTCCGTAAATCAGTCTAACGCAATGCTTCATGGTGAACAAACATGAATGAGCACTCACTCCAATTCGCATAATTATCGGATAAATAACAAGAGCCAAAAAAAAACAACAACAACAACACCTATAAAATATTGTGAAAATAAGTCCATAAAACACACAATTTCGGAGGTAAAACGAGTGAGATTATCCAATTTAGTAATTGTTCATGAATAATTGTGCTATTTGTGGACAATGATATAGACAGATAGTGATAATTTCATCGAGAGAGCTCTGTTTACGTGAAACAAAGACAAGAAAACCCAATAAAATTCGTCGAAACGTTTAATGTGTTTCGTTCGTTGAAGAAAATTGTGACACTTTTTCCTCCATTCAAGCTCGAAATTCGTGTGGCAATTTATACCGAGAAAAAAATCCTGCACCACGCATTATAAAGAAAAAAGCAATATAGTTGATGGGTGATTTGTTTGATAGAGAAACGCCAAGCCCAACGAAACGCAAAGAAACGACAACATTATTGCTGATGATAACAAAAAAAATCCAACGAATTTGGACGGAGCCATAAAATATCGCCTTTCGAAACCGTTTGTAAATTTAGTGTGCAAAAGGAAAAATACCGCATTGAAAAAATGCCAAATCGTGTTTACATGCGTATTCGCCAATGTGAATGAACTATTGTGTCGTGCAGCAAAATGAAATAACAAAAAAAAAACAGCGACAGAGAGTGTCACGGGATTGAGTTTTAGAACAAAAATATATATCTATCTATAAAACGTGAACATTTTCGTGAAGTGCACCACTGTAACTTTCTTTAAGTAATTGTCTATCCGTTTTCTTTTGTCTGCTGAAGTGCAAGTGTCTCTCAATAGAGAGGAGTAGAAAAGTGTTGAGACTGAACATAAAAAAAAACAACAAAACGAATGAAACAAAAGAGAGGCACTCAGCCATACGGTGGATATGTGGTTCACCTGGATTAATAATACTCAATCAGGATAAAGCAGGAAAAACTGGAGAGATACGTATACAAAAGAGTGTAAAAAACAGTGTTTATATAACCAAACCAGGTTTGTTAGTCATCGATCTGTGTTTGTTCAAAAGTTTTGTGCTCGGGGATTTTGTAGTGTGTTCACACGGCTGGTAAACCATTCTATTTGCCAGTTCTATTCGAATTTCATTCAAACCGCTTCTATTATGATGAAATAAACAAGTATAAAGTTAATGAATCGATAAGATAAACCGAAATCGTAACCACTCACTTTCAATCGAATTTTCAAAACTAAATTCTAAGGCAAAAAAGGCATCAAGCTGACTGAAAAACGCGCAGCCACGGAGGACGAGCACTTGAATATGCTGGATCCAGTGACAAACGAAATTATTTACGCATCAAATGGATGTGATGAGATACATGAGTCGGAAGATACGGGCAACGAAGATGTCAACGATGACAATAATCTAGAATCGAATATTCGACGACGCAAAGGGAAAATCATATCGTGTGCCAAAGAAACCATCGAACAAGGTAAGTTTAAATGTGTTTTGAATTATAAAATGCAACAAACGAAAAAGTGGATGGAACGTGAAATTTCAAAGTATTCAAATTGATTGCGACATTTTAAGCCTGATAAAAGTGCTCATAAATAGCAGCCATAAGATTTATTGCCTTGGCTGCTATTCGGCATTATGGGCTGCGAGAAATGGTGGTTTCTCTCAATCCAAAGAGTTGAGCGCTCAAGAGCTCACTCATTTGCCTGCCAAAACAATTATATGATACTTTACACAGTTTTAAAGCCATTTTCATTTTTCAGTGGCAATCGCCAAGATGAAATTCGTTGCCGTCTTCAAAAAAAGGCAATCTAATTAGCAACATCAGCAGCAGCGCAGAAAATGGCAATCTAATTAAATGAGATGCGACAATTTCTTTTTATGCAAATAGTTTATGACGTGCTGAAGAGCTCTCTCACTACCAATTTCACGAGATGAATAACTATTTTCAGTTGATATTCCACAAGTGATTCATTTCATTCTCTCTCTCTCTCTCTCTCTGAGTGTGTGAATGCAACAAATTACGTCGATGTTTCCATCATAATCTCGTTGTTCAATAGGATGGCATCACTTTTACCTCATTACGCCATATTTCCACTGTTGTACAACACAAAATCGGCCCGGTAAAAGTACATCTCATGCAATCATTGTGACACTGTGATATTTGTGGTTCTACATTTGCTTTATAGTATATCTATCAAAGACCATTGAAGCGAACACTTGTTACACGGTAATGATGTACTTTAAAACCGAAATGATTGATCATCAAAGGGCGAATGGATGGAGTCAAAAACGCCCTTGACACCACTGCGCGTACCAAAACCATCCAGTGAAAATGCTTCGCTTTCAAGCTGACATAATGTGTAGTTGCCATTGAAATATGAAATGAGCATAATATTTAATTTCACCCAACTGACAATGAAAAATGATTCATATAATCCTTTGTTGGTCGCTTCACTTGCGTTTTTGGTTTTTCCTTTCCAAATCATTTGTCATAAAACCGACGCTAATGCTACGAGATTTTCTTCATTTTCACTCCGTGCATTGTTTGTTTTTCTCCGAAACTTATCTGTTGGAAAATATGACAAGGACGCGGAGCATTACCCAGCTTTGAAAAGGATTTAGGACGAAATAAATCGGATTCGTGTTCATTCACAATAAAAAAAAAATGTGCTGAACTTGATTAGAAATTCCATCGAGTCATATTTTCATTTTCTTGAATTGACAAGTTTGGAAAACGGCAAAAAGAATGACGATAAAATGATTGTCGTGTCAATATGAGGGAAGGGGCTGTTTCACAAAGAAAATTTCAAGTAATTTAAAAATGACATGCATTTTGGCTTGACTGTTTTTTCCCATTCTTCTTCTGTTTCTCATTTGATGGCAATTTTCTTGGCCATCAAACAAAGACTCATATTCGAGCGCATATCTAACGAAGAGGAAATAAACAAAACGAATGAAAACGAATAAAGAAAGAATGAAAAACACTGACAGCATTTACATTATTCACAACGAACAAAAACCGTATTTCTTTCACGTCAAATGAGCTTTTCTAACTGTGGAATTTTCTTATTCTCTGAATGAGATGTTGCTATCGCACAAAAGCATATCACACTCGAAACACCATGCGCTTTCCAATCGAAGCATACAAAAATAAATTCTGCGAGTTAAGTGATATCATCGATCGCCTGTTTACGAAATCATTCCGTAAATTCATGTTGAAATCATAACATGTAGCGCATTTAGTATGGATTAACTCGAACTCTTTTTCTCTCTCGATTCCGTTCTCTTTTTCTCTCTGTTTTTTCCCCGATCCCATGCCCGCTTTCTGTACACATATTACATGTTCACATTTGAACGCAACCACTGAATTCTTTTAGTCGAAAAAATGGATTGCATACGTGAACATACGGTTAAATTCATTTTGTTCTCATTGGAATTGCTCTCCATACGCGCTTCTCTCTTCTTCTTTTTGCGCGCAATAATTGTTTACAATATCGATTTTCCGTTTTAGTATGCCACTTACAAGAGTCACGAAAGGATATTTGCTGCTGGCTTGAATAGAAAAGAAATTAGAGAGGAAAAATCCAAGTCAAGCAAAGCAATGCAATTCCAACCGAAAAATTAGGACATCGAACGAATGTGGTTTGTTGCCGGGAACTGATGATTCTTTTGAATGAATTGTATTGGCAAATTAATTGAGTGGAGAGGCGATACACAGCTATCGATAGATGGGAACATGATGTGTGGTTGCCAGTTTCAGCATAAATTTGCTTTGATACAAAATGTAACGAATCCAGTTGATTTGAAATAAAATATGTGTACATGGTTGTTAGAAAATCAAAAGTTAACCAAAGTCAGCCCACACTCACGAATATATTACTTTAGTCACGCACTTCACCGGCGCTGACCCAAAACCGTATGTATACTTCTTCCTTTTTTATGTTGCCTTTCATTACGCATGTATAGTAGTTGAGCAAAACCATTGCTGTTAAAAACATTATCACAACAGTTAACATTAAAATCCTTCGTTGCCATTTTAATCTGCTGACCTAAACGAATTTAACACTGATGTTGCTTAACGCGCGCTCAACCCTCAACCGTTTATTTTTTTTTTTGGTTTTAATTTTGATGTGTGTGTTTTTTTTTGTGAATCAGCAGCCACATCAAAATGCGAATTTATATGAAACCGGTCGACGGCAACGACGACCATGGTGTAGTGGCCGTAAATTCCTCCAGCATAGCCGCTATCATAAATTTGAAAACTTTATTATGTCCTAAAATATTGCCGACACAAACACATAGCGTATTTTCTCTGTTCGGCTCTCCATTTCATTTCGTCTGTGGCTTCCGCCATATGATTGTACGCATTAGTGTGTGTAAGGGGGAGGGAGAGAGAACAAAAGCCGTTCTATTTATCGTCGTATGTAAAATGATCCTTGCGGGAATTCAGTCCGTTTCTCTTGGCACGTTAGATTTTATTATCGTTTCTTTCGATAGCAACACTTTCGTTTTCTTTTTTCTTTTTATTTTGCCCCACATTTTACAATTCATTCTTGATTTTGGTCTATGTAAGTGCTGCTGTGTACATGGTCGCCACTAAAAGCTCTCCATTGTCTTATTTCTTGTCGTTGATGCTTGCGATTCTTCATGGTACTCAAGATGTTTTCACGCGCGCCAGAAGAAAAACATGCATCTCTCGACACAAGTGAATGTGCATTTGGTTGCCGTTGTTACAGCCACAAATATCAATTCTGTACTATAATCGATAACTGGTGCGATGAAATGCTTTTACGCTGATGGCTGTGAGTGCTCTTCAACAATGTCATTCGACATTATATTCTGGAGGGGGGGGGGGCGTTTTTTTCTCACACTCTGTCTCCGCATTCTCAAACACTGTGTCTCCGCTTTCAGTCACTCTGCGTTTGTTATTTGGACAAACATTGAATGTTTGGCAAGTTATATCAAACAATGTAACATGAAAATAAATTTCGATAATGGAACATGTCTTTGTCAGTAGAGAAAGCAGCTGTCGCTCGGTAATGATGTATGACGAGATTAATAAAAGTAGGAAACTCCATTTTAAAGTGGATAAATTGTCCAAATCGATCATCGCACTAGTGGATCTCAAGGATGCGCTGCAATTTTTTGATTGATTCATTCATTTATCACCGACTGCGACCATTTTATCGCTTCAATTTATCGAAAGAGACGAATGAAATTTCATTTTTATCGAAAATTAAAATCGCCACTTGTGTCCTCTGCGACGCGAAACATTCAAGTGACACGCACACAATCCTGCGCGCCTCGTATCCAATGAGTTATTTGTCTTTAGTCACCAGTTCATTCTCTCTGGAGACAATGATAAAAAAAATTTCCGTAGCCAATTCCGGCTAAATGAGTTCGGGGACCATAAATTTCAAAACTGTTTAATTAACAATCGATGTAACGCCCCATTAAGCAGCCAAATGAATTATTGATTGGTGCTTGTCTTTTACTCGTGCAATCAACACATGACTCTTTTTGATCTTCCATCATTTACTGCACGCGCTCGCCTCTCAGCGCTGCACAAACATACCTCGTAAATCACATGTAAATATTACATCACACACCGCACCGAAATATTCACCGCACGATTTAAAATACCGAGCGCATATTTGCCCGTGCTGTTCTTCACAGTACCTGTGTGTGCCATTTAAATTTGAATCAAATCCATTCAATTAAACTTCCAAGATTTCAACAACAGCAACGCTCGCAGTGCCGCCATTCCATTTTATCCTTTGCACGTGGGCATCAAACAGTCATTCATCTCAATTAAAGTACATTTAACACAAAGGTGCTGTTAATTTTATTTAGCATTTAGCCATTTGAGAGATGGAAAAAACTTGTTCACCGAAAAAAAGGAGTCGCGACTACAAAGAATTGCAGTGAAAATGATAAATTGAAAAATTGTTCTAATTATTATTGTGTTGCTGCTGCATCAAGAGAGCAAAAAAAAAGAGCGTGGCATAGAACATGTTCCCATTCATTATTTAATTGCTTGTGAATGATCCAACTAAATTAAAACATATGTGTGCTTCGTGCATTGTTTCAATTCAAAAGTTTAAATATGTTTCAAGTTTTTGGTTTACGATACAAAATCATGACGGTGGCGGTGGCAACGCACGTCGCAGCAACGAGCTGTGAATACAGGTGCTGTGACGGAAACAAATGAATTCTCAAATATCTATGAAAAATGCATGCATTGTGTGAATAATTCAGTGGCATTGCTAAAAGGGTTAACGGCAAAATCAAAGTTTTCCATTTTTCCACCGAATCATTTTCTCTCCCTCTATAGCGATTTTGATCCATAAACTGTGAGAGAATATTTTGCCGTGAGATGTGTCGGCTCCTCTTGTTTCAATTCCAACCAGTTTCAAAAGCCATTCTGAGTATTGAATATCTGCAATTTGCCTCGTCTATCGCTTATTTGCACCA